AGACAAGCCAGAGCAGGAGGGCTAGCAAGCTCTTCATCACCGGGGTGTGGACCAGACTCACGGGCCAAGCAGCTAGGAAAGGACAAAAGAAAGTGAGGGTGGATGACATGGAAGGAGGGGGGGTGGTTTGGTTCTCAACTTTTGAAAAGCTCCTTGCTGACCCAGGACCAGGTTAGGCTCTAGGAAATAAGGATTAAGACACAGAATTAGGGCTCGGCGCCTATAGCTCAACCGGCTAAGGCGCCAGCCACGTACACCTAAGGTGGTGGGTTCGAATCCCCAGCCTGGACCCGCCAAACAACAATGACGGCTGCAACCAAAAAATAGCCGGGCGTTGTGGCGGGCGCCTGTGGTCCCAGCTACTTGGGAGGCGGAGGCAGGAAACTCGCTTGAGCCCAGGAGTTGGAGGTTGCTGTGAGCTGTAATGCCACGGCACTCTACCCAGGGGGACAGCTTGAGGCTCTGTCTCAAAAAAAAAAAATAAATAAATAAATAAATAAATAAAAAAAGACACAGAATTAGAGAAATTACAGAGTGAGAGTGGCCAGAAGGACCCTAAAAGACCCTGCTTATGGCTGCAGAGCAATTGTGAAGGGAAAAGAAGTTGAGAGTCCAGGGCGCCTGGTCCCAACTCAGCCCTGAAGCTCACACCCCCAGGGGTTACTTGCCTCCTCTGATGAGGAGGACAAGGGGATGGGGGGACAGAAGATGGGGGGACAAAGAGATGGGGGACAAGGGAACAGGGGGAGCAGCCTCTAAAGTCTCTCCACTCTGCCTGCCAATCTTTCAGTATCACCATTTCCCTACCACATGGCCATGGACAAGCTGGCAAGCGGCACGGAGCAAGACAGAAACAACTTCTGTAATGTTTTCTCCTTTCCGGACACACCACAAAGAAAACAAACAGCAGACACACCAGGCAAACACACTTACCACACGAGTTTGTCTGAATAAGCTTGCCTCGGCTGAGTCCTGGCAGAGACTGGGCCCTTCCGGGCTGCCCAAATTGAAAAAGCAATGCCATGTGCAGACATAAACTCCAAGTGCAAGTCAGAGAAAAAAGAGATCCTCCATGAGAGCTCAGCCTGGGCACGGCCACCCTCTCCAGCCTCCCTCAGCAGTTTTCTGAGTGTGCCTGTTAGGGCAAATCCTAAGATTGTGCGCTGCCCTGGAAGCACAATGGGTTACGTAACTCCGGGCGGCCTGGGAACCCTATCGGCTCATCTTGTTAAACCACCCCAAAATGACGCACCCAAAAATGTGATACCTTCAAGTTGGGGGTAGGGGAGTAGCAGGGAGAACAGGGCTTTGTGATGGGCATTTGGATTTGCCTAAAAATTAGAGTGGAACAAAAAGTCTGCTGTTCATCTCTGGGCTCCCTGGGGAGGACTGGGGGAGGAGTGTGTTTATCAAAGGCCCCATGCCAAGCAGTGTCCTGGGAGTGCACTTGGCAAACCACTAGGAGTCCACACAGGCATTCCTGGGGACACTCAGAGAACTTTTTTCCATTTTATGTCTCCTTTCCATGACCATCTAATACGACTTTAATCTGAGCACCTCAACATCACCTGGCCGCCCAGCGCCTTACACACACAGCAGCGCCTATGTTTCCACTGCTGCCTACCAAAACCTTGCTAAATACAACAGCACCGAGCTGTCTCTCAGCTCTCCTCCGGTCCCAAAGAACCTCGAGTTACCACAGGGTTTGCAGTTTCAGCACTGCATTCTGCTGCTTCTCTGCCCTCAGTTGTCAAGTCTGGAGAAAGTGAAACTACTCTAACCGGCTGAACGTTTCCTAGATTTCACTGGTACAGATACCACTAAAATCCCAGGGGTCAGTTCACGTACATTTTTTAATTTTTCTTTTAATTTTGACTATTTGGACAAATGTTAGTGCAGTTGGGATGTCTTCTCCTCCACAAAGTTCTCCTGGTCCGCCTCTGTTCTTTCCCGTCTAAGGCTAGCACCCTCCATGGTCTCCTCGGTGACCTGTGCTTATCGTCCCAGACAGGCCTTTCCACTGGCTCATCCATCTCCAATGAGACTAAATTCCTGGGCAGCAGAGAACACATGCCCCTAGACCCTCAGACCTGGATGCAACTAGAGATCAGCGGTCTCGGGCAAGATGCTAAACCTTTCAAGATTTAGTCCCTTCATCTGCAAAAAGAGGGTAACAGTGCTTACTTCATGGGGTTGTAATAAGTAAACGACTCAGTTTATTCACCCAACAGATGTTCACTGAGCACCGGCCACATGCAGGCGCTACTTCAGTTGATTCAGGGGCGTGCAAAACAGACACAGTCCTTGCCCTTGAGGAGTGTATAGTCTATTGCAAGTTTGGCAGACAAAATGAAAACATTGGTTGCTCAGAGGATGATCAAATAGAGGGAGAAAAATAAAGCAGAAAAGGGACATAGGGAAAAGTGAGATGGACCGCTCTTTAGGTCAGAGGTTCTCGACCTGTGGGTCATGACAGTAGCAAAATTACAGTTACAAAGTAGTAATGAAAATAATTTTATAGTTTGGGGTCACCACAACATGAGGAACTGTATTAAAAAGTCGCAGCACTAGGAAAGTTAAGGAACCACTGCTTTAGGTGGTCACAAAATATATCCACAGAAATGCCACTTAGAAAAGGGAGAGGGGTCATGAGGACATCGAGGGCTAAGGCAATCCAGGTGAGGCAGCACAAGAACAGAGGCTCTGCCACTGGTGTGCCTGGAGTGCAGGAGGACTAGGGAGCAGGCTAGCATGCTGGAATAGAGTGGGGCTGAGGGGAGCCCACCACTCAGACCCTCAGAGGCCGCTGTGAGATGGAGCTCACTGCAGGTTGGGAGGAGAGTTCTACCATGCGACTCTGTATGAAAAGCCAATTGTCAGGGATGGCGCAGCACAGACTGCATGGGAGGCAAGGGCGGCAGCAGGAGGCCCAGCTGGGAGGCCAGTGTGATCATCCAGGCATGTGATGAAGGCTGCTGGGACCAGGTGGCTGCTGGGGAACTGGGAGAAATGGCCAAAATCTGGGCATACTATGAAGATAGAGCCAACAGAACTTCTGGCAAACAGGAGTGAAAGAAAGAAGTCATAAACGCCTCCAAGGTGTTTGGCCTGAGCAATCAGAATGATGCTTAGGACAGGGAAGGCCCCACAACAGGGGGGATGGAAATCAGGAACTCGCTGTGCGCTGCGTGACACAGAGGCACCAGTCAGGTGTCTAAGCAGAAACTCTGTGGAATGAGACTGAGAGGGCTGACCTTTGGGAGAGAGGTCCAGGCTCAGGAGAACAGAGGTTGGTTTTAAAACCTAGATAGTGGCAAGACCACTTGGTATGTAGACATGCACAAGACAACAAAGTGGAGAGGGGCTGAGCCCAGGCCCCCAAGGCATAAAGATGAGCAGCACATGGAGGCCCAAGGGAGGACCCTGTTTCCAGAAAAGCCAGTGTCAAGTATGGCTGAACAGTGAAGTCAGGCAAAGGCTGAGGACGCACGCATGGACCGACAAGGCTGTCGGCGCTGGGGGAGGGGGGGGATGAGCCTGCCCACAGTGGGCTCGGGAGAGAAGAGGGGAGAAACTGGAGAAAGCAGACAGAGGGGCAAAGGCACAGGGCACTGGCCTGCAGGGAACACAAGGCTGAGAAGGACTCTACTTAAGAAGGGAGAGTCACAGCATGTTGTTGTGCTGGTAAGAAAGACTTATGTTCAAGGGGGAAAGGAAGATGCAGTAGAGAAAAGGGAGAAACAGGAACTGTGTCCTTCAGGTGGCAGGTGAACGGGGGGCAGGACTCAGTGCACAGGTGGAGGGTGACATGTGTGGGCCACTGCAAGGGAAGGGAGAAGAGGTGTGCAGGGCCTGGCACTGGGGCCTCCTCTGTGTCCCTCGGTAGCCAGGAAACTCCTACCACACAGTAACTGGTAACACAGAAGAAGCTACTAGAAGCAAACTCCCATATTACTAAACTGTCACCAGGCAATCCTGGAGAATGAAAGCAAGAACTACAGACAAAAATGGGAAATAGGGAAAGACTGGTTAAAGGATACAAAATTACAGCGAGAAAGGAGGAAGAAGTTCTAGTGCTCTATAGCACGGCCAGATGACTACGCTTAACAATAACTTATTACATAGCGTCAAACAGCTAGGATACTGAACACTCCTCACACAAAGAAATGATGTGTGTTTGAGATGAGGCATATGCTAATTACCCTGAGCAGATCATTACACATTATATATATCCACACACCACTATGTAGGTACTCCATGAATATGTACGATTATAATTTCCCGATTTAAAAAATAATATATTTTTAAAGTAACAAACAGAGCAAACTTCTACATAAACCCAACCGATTTAACCATGACTCTTCCACTTGCTGCTGTCAGGCACACCGCCCTACACCATTTCCACTGAGAGCCCTCTCGCGCTGGCTGCAAGCACTTGTTTCCCTGGGGGGAAAAAACAAGCAAAAGTTCTAGTGCCAAATGCGTAGATAGCGGATGCTGTCAGTGACCTGGGAGGTGATCATCCTGTTCCTGAGACACTGGGAAGGTATGGATGACACAGGTATCTATAAGAACCAACATCTGTGCAAACCTGATGGTGTACAAAGGGCACTGCGTGTAGTTCTCCGTTTTTGCATCCCACAGTGACAGCATATGTTACACCTATCTAATCTGTGAAGAAACTGAACTTCAGAGAGAGGAGGAAGGGGCTCAAGTACACTGGCATGCTACTCAGGGCTCAATGTTACTGTCTTTAACCCTCACGACAATTCTGGGAGCTGGTATCTACATCTCAGACAGGTCAGTGACTGACACAAGTCACAGAACGATTCACCAGCAAAGGAGGCTCTGGATGGGAGGTCTCACAATCCCAAAGCTCAGACTCTTTTGCACTTTGGAGGCTCCGCCCCCATATCCCTTCCTGTAGCTGCATCCCTTCCCCTGTCCTCACTGACCACAGCCCCCCACCCTCCTCCCTCTCAGGGGAAGGGCCCCCATACCGGTAATGGTGCAGGCATCCCGGTACCCTCTGGAGCTGGGAGCATCTTCCACAGCCTCACTTATATAGTGTTCCTCGGGGATGCCCGGGCTGCAGGCTAGGACTGCATGGTTGCACACCTCCGAAGCGGGCACAGAGCTGGCCAAAGTGTCGTCGTGCAGAGCTGTGGCGTCCAGCTTGGCAAGTTTCACAGGGAGGTGCCCACTGCCATCGGGGGCCCCACTGCCGGAGTCTGGGGCAGTTGGGCAGGTAGCCCCCAGTAGGTCTGGTGCACCAGCAGGGGCTCCTCACAGGGAATCTACAGAACAATCCAGAGAGAAGGACACAGTTACTCAGAGTCTATGAATAAGCCTGGACAACTCTTCAAAAAATAATGGCCCTGGTTCCATACAAAATGAAGAATTTTTTTTTCCAAATCTTGAAAGTATAATGTTGGGATTTTAATGGAGATTGCATTGAATTATTCAGTCACTAAAAAAGATGGAGACTATGTAACTTTTGTACTAACTTGGATGGAGCTGGAACACATTCTTCTTAGTAAAGCATCACAAGAATGGAGAAGAATCCAATGTTCTCAATTTTGATATAAGGACAATCAATGACCTAGTACACAGTGGGGAGTGGGGGAACGGAGAGAAGGAAGAGGGGGCACTGTGTTTGGCACACCTCTTGGGAGAGGAACACACTTGCAAGAGGGTCTTTGCCTGACAAATGCAATTAGTATAACCTGGTTCTTTGTACCCTCAATGAATCCCCAGCAATAAAAATAATATTAATAATAAATAAGGGCCAAGATGATGTGGATTCAGACTGCAAATTCTGAAAATTTGCAGAAAATTTGCTTGTTTTCCTTCAAGTCAAGGCATCTC